AGGGCAAGACCCTGTGAGTAATTATGAGCACATTTGTAGAATTCACAGCGATAGACATCATTCTTTTCTTTTTACAACTTTGAGTAGTTGACTCATTAGATGGATGTCTTTAATTTGTTCTCCTTACCCCAGGGATGTACCTCCTTCTGGACTTAGGTCCTTGTATTGTCATTGATTGACACTCAGGACCATGAGACTTCTTGAAAGCTCTATGGTGCAAACAATCCATAGTTCCCATGGTTAGTGGATTCCTGGTAGAGTGGTGTTTCCATTAATGTTTGGTGGAGAAAAGCAGGTGAAATGGCCAACCAGCAACCAGGGGGACTTATTTTGTTTATTTAAGAGCTCAGTGATTCCAGGTAATAAGCCAGCAGGCAGCACTTGGCATGTGGCAGAGGGAAAGCATCGGTTACTTCTGTGTTCCCCTTTATCCAGAAAGTATTTTCCCAACATCCATCTTGGGTTTGCTTTCCTGAGATGTAGTCTGACTGTGTAACCAGGCTGGCCTCAAATCTGCCATCCTCTTGCCTCAGCCTCCAGAGTACTAGGATTATAGACATGGACCACCGCTCCTAGCCTTCCAGGTTTATTTTTTAAAAGACATCTTTCACTTTTATTTGTGACACTTGGTACTGACAACTGGGCTCATTGATGTTGCAGGTTTGCTCAAGCAGGATAAAGCATGATCTGTGCCTCAGTTGTCCTCAGTGTCCAAGCAGAGGCACTTAAGGCACAGCATTAAGTCCAATGCTCATTGCTGCATACCTGTGAATTTTTTACTGTCAGGAAAAATGCTACTGTGACAAGCTCATCATCTATCACGTCTGCTCTGTATGTCATGGTTGCCATTACTGTTTTCCCCCATCTTCCTTTCTCTTTACCTGGTGTCTCCATCAATCCATCTGCTCAAACCAGAGACCAGGAACTTCCTACAACTGTCATCCCCACACTCCTGCTGCTGATGTGAGACCAGCTTATTTTATCTTGATACCATTTCCAGACTTCATCTGGAATTTTCAGTTTTCCTGATTTTCCATCCAGGAAAGCCCATGCCTTTGAATGACAGCACTGACATCTAACGAACACATTCCCCTCATCACTGGAGCCTGGGGACATGTTGAATACATGTCTTCCCTTGGGTCACTACCATGTACCCATCAGTGAGTGACTGACCATTCCTCAGGAGCTGACCCTAAGCTTCTAAGGGCTGCAGAATTTGGTGTGCCTGACTGGGCAAATTTAGCTACAAAGTCCTGCTGCCAGCCCCAAGGGGACAGCATTTAGTTGTCTTCCTTTTATTTCAAGATACCCACTGTCTGGACCACTTCCCCATTCACCACACTCTCACAGCTTCCCTATCTTCCCATCACTGTTAAGTACCGTGTTTTAAATGGTCTTCCAGAGAAGCATCTCTCCCACTGCTTACTCTTATTTAGGTGTTACCTATTGTTCTTTCTTAGTGTGATTTATTTGTGGCTATGATAATGACTAAAATTGACAAGACTGACCACAAGCAAGTGTAGCTTGAGTTTTCCTGCCTGGCCCACAGTCAGGATAAATCTCTGACACCCGCCAGTCCCACAGCCGTCAGACCCGACCAAGTAAACACAGAGACTTATATTGCTTACAAACTGTATGGCCGTGGCAGGCTTCTTGCTAACTGTTCTTACAGCTTAAATTAATCCATTTCCATTAATCTATACTTTGCCACATGGCTCGTGGCTTACCGGCATCTTCACATGCTGTTTCTCATCATGGCGGCTGGCAGTGTCTCTCCCACACAGCCTTCCACTTCCCAGTTTTTTCTCTTCCTTGTCCCGCCTATACTTCCTGCCTGGCCACTGACCAATCAGTGATTTATTTATTGACCAATCAGCACACATTTGACATACAGACCATCCCACAGCACTTCCCCTTTTCTTTTCTTAAAAAGGAAGGTTTTAACCTTTACACATCTCCAAAGTCAGCTTGGTATATTTGGGAATTTGGGCGTAGCTTCTCTTACTACTTCCTGCTGGAGGGGGGCGCTGTATCTTCTGGGGAAACAAAGAAAATTTTAGGAAAATTTTAAGAAAAGGGGAAGTGCTGTGGGATGGTCTGTATGTCAAATGTGTTGCTGATTGGTCAATAAATAAATCACTGATTGGTCAGTGGCCAGGCAGGAAGTATAGGCGGGACAAGAAGGAGAAAAAACTGGGAAGTGGAAGGCTGTGTGAGAGAGACACTGCCAGCCGCCACGATGAGAAACAGCATGTAAAGATGCCGGTAAGCCACGAGTCATGTGGCAAGGTATAGATTAATGGAAATGGAATAATTTAAGCTGTAAGAACAGTTAGCAAGAAGCCTGCCACGGCCATACAGTTTGTAAGCAATATAAGTCTCTGTGTTTACTTGGTCGGGTTTGAGCGGCTGTGGGACTGGCAGGTGAGAAAGATTTGTCCTGACTGTGGGCCAGGCAGGAAAACTCTAGCAACAAGCAAGTGTTGGCAAGCACATGGATCTACTAGAAATCTCATGCACCGATGTTAGAAATGTAAAACACTGGAGGCACTTTGCAAACCATGTGTAATTTTTTTCATAAACTTAAATATACAATTCTGCCTCCTTGATATTCCCTCCTATTTCTCTAAGACAGACAAAAGCCATATGTCTACAGAAACACTTTCACACAAGTGTTGGCAGCAGTTTTATTTGCGTTGTCCACATTTGGAAACAATCAATTACCCACCAAGAGATAAGCGGGTAAAAATCAGAACAATGGAATACAACTGAGCAATTAAAAGGGATGAACTCTTGGCGTGTACAACAGCATGGATGGGCTTCAAATCCTCATGTGCAAAGGAACTTGAAGACAGAGAAGTACTGAGTGCAGACCTGGAGTCAATTGACATGAAATTCTAGGAGAGCCAGAACAGGTCTGTAGGGTCAGAACACAGAAAGAGGTTGGGCTGGCCATGGGGGTTGGTAGCAAAGGCAACAGATTAGCTCTTGGAAGCAACAAGAACGCTCTCTTTCCTGAGTGGGATGGTGCCCATGCAGACATACACACTCCTCAAATCCCCTTGGGCCATACCACCTATTTCTTACATTAACTATCATAAATTTATCTCAATAAAATTGATTAAAAATGACTCAAGTATACAAGACCGGATGTTTTAGCTTTAGATATGTGCATTGACCCCAGAATTTTACTCTTGGCTTAGGAGAAGCTCCAGTTCCCTCAGGTGGAGACCACGAGGACAGTAGACGAGAGAGCCATTACAGGTTCCTTGACAGTATTTGCTGTTTGTCCCAGCAAAGTGAAGTCGGGAAGTCAGGCCACTAAGACACAGATGGACTGCCCTGAGGCTTGCCAGGAAGAAAACAAAACAAAACTGGTATAGACTATCTATCTAAGTTCCAACATCTGGCAAATAGCAAATGATGTTAGGATAAGTATATGAATCATAGTTATATTAGAACATTCATGGACCTAAAATTTGAGCTTAACTGGGGCCCCTGTGTTTTGATTTGCCAAGACAACTGGTAACTTTTCTAGCATGCTTTATTATGCTCACAGAGTTTGAACTTTCATGTGGAAAGACACTTTTGAACATGGTTCTCCTGGATGATGCCATTCACTCAAAATGATTACAGAGTGAAAATTATGTGTGCCTGCATGTGAGTTAGACTCTGTCCTTAATCCAGCTGCCTCTTCACTCTGAGGAATTATACAAAGTCCTCAGCATCTTGGCAGAGCGAGGACTCTTGTCTGAGTTCAAGCTTTGTGTGAGGAGTGGGGATGCAGACTTGGCTATGACACGCTTATCCAGACATTCTTTCCTTTCTTATGATAAATAGAGATCAGTCTCTCTCCTCCCAAGAAATAGTAACACTGATACCTGGGCAGAAAGTAAGAGCAGCCCATTTTCAGCACAAGATCTCAGCCTAACAGGGGTCAGGGCTATAGTTTTGATTGTTATCATAACTATCCACACTGTCACCGTCATTTGTGAAAAGGCATGGCTGTAATGGTGGGGGTGGAGGTGAGGTTAAAATGTTAGTGGTCACTGTCTGCTCATGCTTTCTCTCTGTGTGTGGGGTCATGTGTGGTATGTGTGTGTGTGGTGCATGCGTGAGAGTGCACATGCATGGGGACACACAGAGAGCAGGATGTCAGGTGTCTTCCCCAGTCACTCTCTGTCTTACAGCCCAGAGACAGGGTCTCTTCCTGATCTAGAAGCTTGCTGCTGGCTGCTCAGCAATCTCAACCCCCAGGTGCTGGGTTGCAAGGACACACAGTCATGGCTGACTTTTCACCTGGGCGTTAAGGATTTGAATTCGGGTTGTTGTGATTGTAAGGCAAACGCTTTTATCCACTGAGCCATTTCCTAGGCCCTGCTTGTGCTTTTTGATAAAAGCTTACCAGGAGCAATGAGGGAGGAGCAGGAAGAAGCCTGGGCAGAAACTAGGAGTTTTTTTTACGTTATGGAGTTTCTACACACTGAGATTACCTGATCTCAGGAAGAAGATGGAAGACCAGGTGTTCGAGAGAAACATGCATAGTTACTTCCTCCCCTGACCTGCTTTACCTGAGGACAACACAAAAACACGGAAGCACTATGTGGAGGTCATGGCCAGCAACCTCCTGGACATTGTAAGGAAATGCTTCTTTGCTTGCTGTGGGGGATCATGGAAACAAACTTGGCTGGATTTTAAAAGGTGACCCAGCTATTTTATTATCCATCAAACCTTGACTAGTGATGGAGCTTCCAGCCAGGCAGCATATGCCCTGGTGTATCCCTGAATGACAGATACCTTCAGAGGGAGCGGGCTGTCTTTGAGCAAGCTAGTCCCAGGTCAGTCCATTGCTACCATTTTCTCCTGCAAGAGATGGAGTGGCATCTCTAGAAATTGCTGCATAGCCTTTATATTTGGAATTTCCTCTTGAAGTCCCAACAAGGTAGTTCTAGCTCATGCCCAGAGGCCTCACTCGTGGTTCTGGACACACTTCTTCCCCCCCCCCCACCCTGTCCTAGCCCTGTGTTTGTTTAACTCTGATCTCTACCACCCACCTTTGCATTTGCCCAACACCTTTGTGAAAAGTTCCTGGTATTACGTTGCTACGTTTGGGGGGCTGGTTTTGTGAGCTCTATGAAAACGACCCCTCAATGGTGTGTCGTGGAGTCATTATCTTTCCCGAGGATTTTTGCCTGTCACATCTCATGTAATCAGGATTGATACATTAGTTCTGACCTTGAAAGCACAACATCAAGGCAAATTGGAGTGGAGAAGATGCTCACCTCCTCCTGTTTCGGAGCCCAAACACAGGGTGGCCTGAGATCTGTGTTCACTGCCAACTGGTGAGAATCAGAAGGCATCTGCCTCAACTTGGGGGCAGGTAGAGGCACTTCTGCTGTGGTGACTTGGAGTTTGGTCCTCAGTTGATGATTGAAACATTGAAACTGTGCATGCTTTTTTTTTTTTTTTTTTTTAAATGACTTGGTTTTGTTTCAACAGGATATCATCCCCAAGGCATTTCTACATCAGGACCAGAGTCATAAAATTATAGTACAAGAGAACCTAACCAGAGGAATGATTGGGTTAGAAAACATTGACTCCAATCTAGGGCTAGAAAGTGGGCAAAGGACTTAAAGTTTAGTCACTACTTTACTAGCTTCCAGTTTTGATCAGATCTTCACTGAAAAATCCATTTTGTTAAATGAGCCATGCTTCAAGGAAACCCCAGATGGCCAGTGGGCCCTGTAGCATCCTGGTGAGATCAAGTTGTGTTACTCAAGCAATAAAAGGGGAAGTCTGAGATTTTTTAAGTCCAGTGTGGACTTCTAAATTCCACTCCACATTGTCCTAGTTGATTGCTGAGTATAAACTTCATTCAAATAGATGGCCACAAATGTTACTATTCATTTTCTACTTTGATCCTATCACCCAACTTCTCTTCCCACTAACCATTACTAACTCCAAGTTTGTTAGCTAGTAAGGTAGACAGGCTTCATCTCGAGACATTTGTGGCAAATTAAATGTTATTTATATTTGAAAAATAAATTTGATCGGGCTTCATCCCCACTACCAAATGCTGTCTCTGAAACATCCCCATACAAGGACAAAAGGTGGGATGCGAAGAGGAAGGGGAGTCCACAGACAAAGAGGTTTGGGAGAAAGCACCCTGTTTCTGAGTAGAAGGTTATTATGTCTGAACCTACCAGTTTGGTGCACACCGAGCTTTCTGACTCATGTTTTCTTAATGCGTCTGCATATCTAAGGGAGTCTTAATGGAAGCTTGGGACGCTCAGAAGACAAGTTCATGGCTTGTTTTCTCTGAGTAATGATCCAGTTTGATTTCTGCTGCCATTTTGTTTGCAGATGTTTGTTCTAGGATAATCAAAAGGGAAGAACAAGGATTCGCCTTTATTGTGATTGTTTGAAATGAAGTCTTGCGAAGCCCTCCCATCTTCAAAATTCACTTAAAGCCTGGTGGCCATAAGGAGAAGGCTCCCAGCTGTGCTGTCCGCAAAGACTGTGAAGTCCGTAGGCTTCTGGTGCTCTCTGTCTCTGAACAGTCTTCTTTGTCATATTTATGAGTCCTCCAAAAATTGCCTGAGGCTTTCTAGGGAATGAGAAAATAATTCCATCTTCATGCTTCCAAGCAAAATATTCCTAGGGCTGCAAAAGCAGTACTGTAGAGGCTGAGATTGCCCGGCATTCCAGAACCTGAGTGCAAACACAAGACAATATGCAGTTTACACAGTTTTGCAAATCTTATTCCAACACGCTTTGGGGCAGTGACCTTTTCATTGGCTTACCTGCTTCTCCTTCATCTCTCCGGTTCCTCTGCTCCCTGCCTTTCACTTTATTTCCAGCTCATTGTTTAGCTTTGCTTTTGGAGAACACACACTATCGTAACAACTCTATTTTTCCATAGTAACACATTCACCAACACACAAGACAAATTTGTAAGTGGTTACAAGAAGGCTCTTCTCCCCTTAGGAGGTCAATTGCCTGAGAATGTTGGAAACCTCTCCTTTGAAAGCAGGCCTTGGCCTGGTAGGGCTCTTTTTTTTTTTTTTACAGCTGCTTCCAAACTTTGTGGGAAAGAGTGTGCTTCATCCAGGTCAATTATTTCCCTTCATGAAAACTAATAAGATAAGAAGCAAAACCCCACTGAAACCTCTGTTCCAAATGGATTTCTCCCTGCAGGAAGGAATCCAAGTCTCCCTTTTATATTATTGCTTTTAAAGGTATTCTTCAGAAGAGGGAGCGGGGAGATGTGAGGGTGTTAATGAAAAAAACTAAATAACTCTCCAAACATGAACCCATCATCTGAAAAACAGAAGCTAATTTTGAATTATTAAAGGAGGCTGGATCACAATTCACGACTGAGAAATGGAGGAGGGGAAATGGTGTTTGGGAAGTCCAATTATTTCTGAACCAGAGACAGTCTTATTAAGTTGGGCAGAAAATTAATTAGGCTAATTAGAAAACCTCATTGGAATTCAGCAAGGAGTTATGAGCGGCAACATGACGACAGTCGATGTGCTGGGAGAGGGAGAAAGTGCTGGGAGAGTGGGGTGAGGTTCTTAGGAAGCAATTGGGGGATTATTCACACACATGAGGCTGATCGCCCGGTCACTTCAGAGGGAAGCAGCCATGTTTTTACAGGCTTTCTGCTCCTAGCTGTGGATCGTCAACGAGTATTAAAAATGATGTCTAGTATATGTTAAAAGGGAGAAAGAGGAAAGGGGAGGAAAAAAAAAGAAACCTAAGATTTATTCTGAGGCTTCAGTGGGATTTCGTATTTATTTTGGTATTTCCGATATGCTGGTTCATCAGCATGGCGCATTGTTAAAAATTGCTGGGTGGGTGGTTTTTCATCTTCACGGATTTATAGAGTCCTTAAAACATCTGTTCCGTTCTGATTCCTCCGCTCAGTACAAAGACGTTATTCAGGGATGTGGTTTCCACGCACCGGTGTTGGCATCCCGGCTAGAGATAGCTGTGGCGTGTGGGCCTGGGAATGGCCAGGGGATTCCATCTGTGGGAATAGGCTGGCAGCATCTGCTCCTGTGGCACAAAGCTTGGGGGCTGTTCAGAGAAGATCCTGCAAAGGGGTCACAGAGAGTTGAGAAGCTAAGGAAACCTGCTCCAGCGATCAGAGCACTGGAAGAGCACTCTGCCCTGCGATTGACAGGTGACCATGCACCTCCCAGCTCAGTGACCTCCTTCCTCCTGAAGTCCCAGAAGAGCCCTCCTACCTCCTGAAGGGTGGGTTTCTCTGATGATTTTTTTTTAAAGATTTATTTATTTATTATGTATACCATGTAATGTCTGCATGTATCCCTGCAGGCCTGAAGAGGGCACCAGATCTTATTACAGATGGTTGTGAGCCGCCTTGTGGTTGCTGGGAATTGAACTCAGGGCCTCTGGAAGAACAGCCAGTGTTCTTAACCACTGAGCCATCTCTCCAGCGCCCCTCTGATGATTTTTGATTGAAAAAAAAAATTAAGTGAAAATTCAGCATGAAAGGAATCTCAAAAGGAATTTTCTGCATGTAATGGGGCAAGGAACAGACCACGTGACAAAAAACAAAAACACCCCCCCCCCCAAAAAAAAAACCCAAACCCAACAATCAAGATCCCTTGAAAAGGAACAGAAAGAAAGTTGGGGAACAGATAGTGGAGCCCAGTGTAAGTCAAGTCTTTCCCACGCTCTCTGGCCCTTGATGCAGGAGGCATGATGCTCATCCTGCAGACCAGGTAATGGACAGTGAGAACGAAGTCACCCAGAACTCACACCCGACAAAGAGAGGAAGCAGGAGTTCCAAGCAAGGCATTTCGGGGCTGATTGTTTATATTTCTCCATCTTACGCTGCAGCCCTGATCCTTAATATGATGTGATTTAGAAACAGGGTCTTTAGGGGGAGTAATTATGGTTAACTATAATAGTGAGAGTGGGGTCTTCCTGATGGAATGAGTTAGTGGTCTTTTTTTTTTAATGGCTGTTCTTCTGCCTCTGTGTTTGGGACACTGGGTCTATAGGCATGAGCCACTCTGCTCTGTTTTGGGAATAGAAAAGGGAACACCTTCTGACCACATAGAGACTCCGACTCCGAGTTTCAACCTCCTTAACAGTAGGAAATATATTTGTGATTTTTTTTAAAGCTGCCCAGCCTATGGTATGTTGGTACAAATAGCCAGAGCTATTCTATCAGGTTTGTTTGTTTAAGAATACCCAGGGAGTTCACAGCACCACAGCATCCTGCAGCCTGTCAGAGTTAGCCAAGGAGCCTGCTGCTCTTTACCTAGATTCTCAGCTCTTGGAAAAGTTCCTCCATATCCCAGGACCATGCTCATCTCCAGCTTTCCCACATTAGGACCCTCCTTTCAATTTCCTTTTGGGAAGCATACAAAGGACTTGCTCGTGGGACTTAAAGGTGAGCTCTTGGGAAATGAGGACAAAATGATGCTGAGAGATGTGAATTCTAAGTGTCCTTCATCACTGTATCGGTGTAGGACACAGGCAGATGGCAGCACAGTCTCCCCGTAGGCTAGGGGCCTGTTGGAGCTGCATGTTGGAAAACGGTGACCTGAGCTTATGGGGCTGACACTGGGCAGTCTGCTCCACCTCCCTCAGGCCCAGCAGGTGCCATGGCCTCCTGGCCCTTCCTTGGTGTGGGCCTCTTCTGAGGCCATACTTTTCCAATCATTAGGTTTGCCTGTCAAGCTGAGCCAAATAAGGAGACAGGAGTCAATTAGTTCTCCCCAATAGACTGCTCCCCTGTCTAGTCCTAGCCTCCCAGGTGACCCCATTATGATAATGGGCCAACCTGGCTGCTCGCAGAACAGGCCTGCTGGAGAACTGAGAGCTTCCTTCCAATGTGAATTTCAGAGAGACTGGCAGACTACAGCTCTGTTCCCTGCTGGCTCTGGACAGGAGCCTTCTGCCTCCCCATTGTCACTGCTGAGCAATGCCATGTGCTTATTCATCCTGCATGCTGCTGGCATCCCAGGAACATCCCATCGAGCCATTCATTCCAACAATGGGCTCGCTTCTGCTGACACCCGGGGAGACAGGTGGATTCAGAGTGCAAAATGTGTTGCTATCACTCTGGCTTCCCCTTCTGAGCTCAGTCTTTAGAGCAGGTGCCTGTTTTATGTCCTTAGGTGGAGGATGGTGTCCTTCACTCCAGATCTCAATAAATGCACCTTTATATAAAATCCCGGCAGCCTGACTGCAGAACTCAGGGATAAAAATCATATTAGCAAGTCAGTCCGTCATCTGGGTATTTGATTTAATACCAAATATTGTGGTCTTTCCAAATATTGAGCTATGTTAATACTGGGATAACACAACCAAAGAAACGTCCAGGCATGGTGATTGTCTCAATAATTTTCACAGTGATATCACATTTGGCCTCTCGTGAGCATTTCTTCTCAAGCAGACCCACTAGTTCTTCAATCAGTGTGGCAATGGAGGAGTCGGTTTCTTGTATTTAGTCAGGACTAAAGACATTTCGAGAGCATTTGAAACACAGAGATGTGTTTGTCACATGCGGGTCATTTTAGGGTATTATATTATTCAAGTGATTTATAGCCATAGACAAATTGCTTTGCATTTCAAGGATGATAAAATTCACATACATGGATCCAGAATAGGAGGCAGAAAATTGTTAGGGCCCCTCTTGTCAGGGCCCATCCTGCTTAATGGTGTGCCCCCCCCCATTCTGCAGACTGCTTTAGATCTGAATGTCTCTGTAGTTCTGCTATAATTTATTATTTAATTAAGTAACCATTAAATAATTCTTCAACTTTAGCCTTCAATGTTTCTATTGTTTTTAATGTAACTGTTAGTGAGGCATGTAAGTTTTATTTATGGTTTCCATTGCAGAGCAATGATTATGTAACTCTGCAATTCTGCAACTATTATTTCTATTTGTTTAATTACATAACTATCACAATATTAAACCTCTAAAACATTGGGTGATAGATTTATATGGGAAATGGTAGGAGACAGCAATAATAATGATATATCAGAGTAATAATAAAATTAAATAATAGCATTAATATTAATATTAATGGAGATTACAGTAATAAGAAGCAATAGTACCATTTACTTTCCCTTCATGCTGTATTTGGTCTCTTTAATGGGTTCCTTCCCAGATCTCTGTGGTTAATTAGCTATCTAACATTTGGTACTCAGCAGTGGGTGCAAACTCATTTCCAGACTTTACCTGGCAAAGCTGGGCTTTACAGAATGCCAGATGGAAGAGGTCTGTTTTGTCCTTCTTTGTAAAGCAAAGAATGGGCAGATTTCTTTCTTCCCCATGTGCCCTGGGGACCTCCCATGTGTGCTATACTTTGTGCTGAGATAGAGAGGCTTTGGAATCCCAGGAATCTGAGATGAGCTTGGGATACAGGCATTGTGTTGCCTATGAGGCACTAAGGTGGAGAGAGTTTGGGGATTTATTTCAACAGAGATAGATTGAATTCTGGCTCTGTCACTCACTTTGTGACCTTGAACGAGTTACCATACCTCTAGGTGGACCATATTTTTCTCAAACCAGAGTTGAAGGTGTTAACACAATGGCAATACAATGGCATTACAAGACTGTTGGGAAATCAAAACACAATACCGTGTGAAATATTGTGGAGTGCAATTGATATCTGTGAGTAGCTGTTGTTTCAAAGGCATTGGTTGACAGATTAAAAGCCAAA